GCATGCCCAAGATCCCGAGAGGAGAATGGAGGAGAAGGGATTGGAGCGTGGCCATCCCCCCTGGGGGGGGATTTCTCGCTTTCTGTCTCTATGTCTCTCTGTCGGTCTGGCAAGCGCACGCACCCTATAGTGAAAATCTCTCCAAAACAAAAAAAAACAACTCCTAAAAACTTTTACATCCTAACACCAAGCACTAAGAGGGCAAGAGGGGGGTCTAAAGTAAATATAACTGGAAAAAGAATTTTCTTTTTTGAGAGATTTTTGCTACAGGGTGTGTGCTCACCAGAGAGACAGAGACAGAAAGCAAGAAATCACCCCCAGGAAGGATGGCCACACCGTAATCCCTTCTCCTTCATTCTCCTCTCAGGATTTTGAACATGCATATACACACCCCTAGCATGGGTTTCAAGCCACCAGGTCCAGAACTTGAACCACAGTCAGTCATGTGGGAGTCTAGCACCTTAACCACTACGCCACTCCCTGAACGCCAGAAAGGAGTTAATTTTTTAAAATAATTATTTATTTTATTTATTCATTCATTTATTTTTTAGTGTTAGCAGAGAGAGACAGAGAGTGATAATGAGAGAGAGGAAGTGAGAAAGCAAGCCACCAGATTCAGGAATTGAACCCTGGTCGGCCATATGGGAGTGTCCAGCGCCTTAACCACCACGCCACCTGCTGGTCCCTAGAAAGAATTATTTTAATGTTTACACAGGAGATTGTTCATTACTTTCAAGTAACAGACAACTTGACTGAATCTGCTCTACAAATAAATCAATATTGGCTCATATGCATGTGAACACACAGGTAAGATTCACATGAAGAAATAATTCTATCTCCAGTTGTGATCTGGTAAATTTACTTATATGAGGGATCAGCAGATGGCAAAATGGTTACATCGCTGGAGTCCCAATTAGTTGACGGTTTGAGTCCCAGACCCAGAGGTTTAAAACTCACGGCAGGGGGTCCAGCGTGGTGGTTAAAGATGCTGGTCTCCCATGTGGCCAACTGTGGTTGAAATCCTGGACCTGGCAGTTGGCTTTCTCACTTTCCCTCTGTCTCACTCTGTCCCTCTCTGGTCAAATTAAAATAAATAAGGTTAAATAAAATTCTTTAAAAAATATTAAAAATAAAAAAACTCAAGCCAGGCACGTATACATGCATGCCTAAAATTCCAGGATGAGAACAGAGGGGAAGGGACTGCACGTGGCCATCCCCTCTGTGGAGTGATTTCTCGCTTTCTGTCTCTATCTCTCCAGCGAGCACACGCGACCCATAGCAGAAATCTCTCTACAAAAAAAAAAAGTACTGGGGATCAGCAGGTGCTGTGGTGGTTAAGGTGCTGGACACTCCCACATGGCCAACCACGGTTCAAGTCCCAGACCTGGTGGCTTGCTTTCTCACTTTCTCTCTTTTTCTCTCTCTTTCTGTGCCTCACTCTGGTCAAATTAAGATAAAATAAAATGAATGAATAAATGAACTTAAGCAAATAATTCTTTTTAAAAAATGTACTTACATGAAATGGAATCTGAGATGGGTCCTTAATAACTAGACCAGACGGCAATAAAAAAGAGGCAGAAAAAATTAGCATGACTAAAATAAGGGGAAATAAAGTCAGAAAAATTGATTTAAAAAACAGTGATAGGGGCTGGCAGGTGGTGTGGTGGTTAAAGCACTGGACCCCCACATGGTTGACAACAATTTAGGTCCTAGACTTGGTGGCTTCCCTTTCTTTTCCCGTTG